ATATCAATTGCTTTGTCACACACCCAGACCAGGGATCAAACCCAAAACCTAGTATTTCCCCTGACCGGGAATTGAACCTGCAACCTTTCTGATAAGCTAGAAGATGCTCTAACCAACCAAGCCATCCAGCCAGGGAAACACATTATCCTCACCTGAGGATATTTTTCCATTGATTTTTTAAAGAGAGTGTGGGAGAGGGAGACAGACAGAGAGAGAAACATCAATGTGAGGGAGACACATGGATTGGTTGCCTCTCACATGCACCCCATCCAGGGTCAGGGATCGAACCCACAACCGAGACAGCTGCAAAGTAGCAACCCTGCATGAGTGTATTTCCATCCACGTTGGCCAAGCTAGTGTCCAGATCGGCAATGCCTGCTGGGAGCTCTACCACCTGGAACATGACATCCAGCCAGATGACCAGATGCCAAGCGACATGACACTGGGGAGTGGGAAGCGATGACTTCTTCAACACCTTCTTCAGTGCGAGGCGCTGGCAAGCATGTGCCCAGGTCAGTGTTTGTAGACCTAGAACCCACAGTCATTGATGAAGTTTGCACTGGTACTTATTGCCAGCTCTTCCAATCTGAGCAGCTCATCACAGGCAAGGAAGATGCTGCCAATACCTATGCCAATGGATGCTACACCATTGGTAAGGAAACCATCAACCTCATCTTGGACCGAATTCAGAAACTAACCAGTGCACAGGTCTTCAGGGCTTATTGGTTTTCCACACCTTGGGTGGGGGAACTGGTTCTGGGTTCATCTCCCTGCTGATGGAACATTTTTCTGTCAATTATGGCAAGAAGTTCAAGCTAGAGTTCTCCATCTACCCAGCCACACCAGTTTCCACAGCTATAGTTGAGCCCTACAACTCCATCCTCACCACCCACACCACCTAGGGCTCTGATTGTGCCTTCATGGTTGATAGCAAGGCCATCTACGACATCTATCATAGAAACCTTGAGATTGAGCACCCTATCTATACTAACCGGAATAGGTTCATCAGTCAAATTGTGTTTTCCACCATTTCTTCCCTGAGATTTGATGGAGCCCTGAATGTTGACCCCACTCTGCTGCGATCTGGCTCCAGGTAGCATCTGGGACAGACTAAGTTGTGTGGCTCTAGGACAAGGGACATTTTTCTCTCTCATGCCTGAGCAGCGCAGAGCCCTTCACAGAGCCAAATCTTGGTCTGTTTGGGCCTAAAGAACTCTGCTGACCTCACCCTGATGACTCCCTGAAATCCTACCTGACCACAAAGGTTTGTGAGCACTTAACAGGTGGCAACTAGACCCTGGGACATTTGCTGAGTGGCCTCAGACCCAGCACCGGCACAGATTATCAATCTGAACACCACTCATTCCTACTCATTGAGAATCTACCTCATGCAACTGGAGTATCTCCAGATGCTCTTTCAATGGCTGAACCTAATTTTTTTTTGGTGGGTAGTAAGAGATCAACCAAAGCATGACCAATGGACACAGACAGTAGGAGGACGAGGGTATGTGCTGGGGAGTAGGAATGTGTGGGGAGAGGTCAATGGGGGGAAAATATGTAAAACTTTCAACAATAAAGAATTTTTTAAAAAAGAAATGCTGATGCCTGGGCTTCTCCACAGACCTACTGAATCAGAATCTTTGGAGAGGGGCCCAGGAATCCTTTTGTGTTGGTGTTGTAATGTCCCCAAGTGATTCTGTTACAGCTAACTGGGTACATATCCACCGGCAGGCAGTTGAAAATCACGAATAGAGTCTCTAAAGTTGAGAAAACTAAATGTCTGATTTATAAATTAAGACCCTGAGGAAACAATGTATCAGGTCACCATTATGGTTAGAAACTCAAAAATACAATTCACATGCAACGTTTCAATTGCATAATTTGTTTAAAAATAGGGATGCCTACGTGCTCCATTCTCTGCTTTAGAGATGAAGTTCAAGATACAGGTGGCAACTATAAAGTGGATACCTGAGAATGACAATTTTATGGCCAGCTATTAATTCTTTCCTAAAGGGCATGAGTACTGAATATTGGATCTTTTTGAAAATTAAATAAGATCTGAGGAGTTCTGGCCCATTGTTATTGGATTCTGCCCCATGAAGAATAGAGGAAAACACTACTCGTTCAGTTTTATTAGGATAGATCTGGGCAGAGTAAGGAGTTTTTTAAGACAATGACCCTTGAGGAGAGGCTAGCTCAGCAGTTTGAGAGGTGCCTTGGGAGGCTTGAGTAGCATAATGGAAGGCAATCCTTACACATACCTTGAGCTTCCACCAGGTGGCGAGGTTCCCTTATATTCCTCAAAGCCATTTGAATAAATGACTTTAAATTCTCTATTTGGATAAAGCAAAAGTGAAGGGGGGTGGGCCATAAGTAACCAGGACTTCAGACAGAAGGCCTTGGATCAAGTATGTGACCTCATTGAGTTCTTAGGAGTTCCACCACAGAGGCTGAGGTGTAGGAGGCAGAGGTAATTTTAGTAGTTATGTTGTAGCCTCTTTGTGTCTCAGACAGTAACACCCACTTTGCATTTCCAATCCCTATTTATTCTTAAAATCCCCTACAAACTCATAGCTATGTCAAAACTGGAAATGACTAGTTAAAATGGACACATAAGTAGAAAACGGGGTTGAAGCACTTCCTATTTTGAGAAAAATCGATGTACAAAGCCCCCAAGTCTATGAAACATAAATTTGAGAGCTTGCTAAAGGGTCTTTGTTTTAAAAAGAGATCCCTCACAGACTGCCTTAAAAAGCAAGGTTCCTTTGTGCCTTAAGAATTTGATTCAAGAGAGAAAATAGCAACCAGCAGGAAGGTAGGGAGGGAGAGAGTGTGAGAGCGCAAGGAAGTGATAGGGGAGTGTGTGGACG